GTTTAGTGAACTTACTATTCACAAAATTGCTAGCTAAAATATATTGTAAAAATAAAAATGAATACGTTGGCCCCTAGACAAAGGATTCATCTGACTCTCATTATTTAGATTGATCTTCTGGGAGGATTTCACGTTGGGAAGTTAAGCATTATGTCCATGCAGAGTATATTAACACCTGATTGTGAGATAACTTCAGCCACATGAATTAAAGAAAGCATTGGTTGTATGGGTAGTATTTAGTTTGAGCTTGTTTGGCTGACAGGCAGACCATGAAAGAGATATTAAGGTGCAGAACGATTATCAAGAATTCTGACGGAATTTGTGCTTGTGGGAATCTGAAGCTTCATCTATCCCTTAACAGCTCCAGTGATCTGTGAGGTTGCAGTTTCTGATTAGTGTGTAATGCAACATGACTGTAGAAGTTCATGCAGTTACTATGAGTTTGCTTCTATGTGCTGATATAATGATAGCAGCTCATGAGTGTGCAACACTGTATGCAATTTTGACAGAGGTTCTGTAGGTAAGAGAATAAAATATTTATCCAAAATTGTAGTAACTATTCCTCTCAGAATGTCTTTACCATTATAATTAGATGAACTTAACCTTAAAATTGCAAAAGCATCATGGAATATTTGATTGAGCCCAATGTAATCACACCACAGAGAACTTTGTCAGACTGAAAGATGTGTATAGAGAAGAAGATGTGATAAAAGGAATCTAAGAGTTTCCAGATATGAGAAAAGTTCAATATATTGAGGCTGGTTCTGATACGAGTGGCCAACACATAAGAACCAGAAAGAGACCTTTAGGAGACAGAGAAAAGCTTCAAGTTAAAACCAGCAAAGCATGACAACTTCAGCTCCATGATCATAAGGAACCAGATATGGTCAATAACATGACTGCGTTTGGAAAGAGATTCATCAGTAAACCCTTCAAAAATGCAACCCTGTCATGCCTTCAATTTCAGTCTTGTGAGACTAGAAGTAAGCAAAGAACTCATTTAACCGTTTTATAATCAGAGTTACAACCTACAAGGTAGTGAAAGGAAAAACGTCTTCTTTTATACCAGTGAACTTGTGTCAATTTGATGCAGCAGCAAAGAAAACCTAATATAGTAGACAACCATTACAGTAAGACAGTATTCCTCAGCCTCTGATTAAAACTTTTCCTGGTGTATATTATGTAATACCTGTCTTCCCTTAGGAATTCCATCATCTGTTGAATCATCTCCATAACTTTCTGTGGGTCATGCATGTGGTCAAGGCCTCTAAGCTTGTCATCATTACAATAACTGCATTCTCTGGGGCTTCTGATACTTAGATGTCACTGCCTGGCTTCTATATTTAGGGTTCTATTATTCTCATTTATAAAAATGAGTCAATCTATGGCAGACTTTCTTGTATCATACCTCCCCTACTAAGGATGCACCACTGAACCACTGATTGATGCAAGTGCCTCTCTCATTGGAGAATTCCTCATAACCATGATGAATGCAATGCCCTGTGGGTATTCATAATCATCATCAGAGTCTTTGAGCCTTGTATAATGTATCTGTTTTGGCATGACCACTTCCATCACCCATTAATTCTATCACCTGCTACAGCAATTTTGACATTCAGCCTCACTTAGGGCAATCATTTTTCCATGCATCTAGGAGCCACTCTATTGGTGACTTGGCACCATCTCTTGCAATTTTCTCTAAGGCAGGAAATCTTGTCTCTCAGGTAAATGTTCCCAGATCATAAATTCTCTTATCAAACTACATTCCAGGTCCATTGTGTGCTCTCAAGCTACTGCAGGGTCTCTAGTGCAGGTTCTAGTGCAGGTTCTAGAAGCTTCCTTAATATACAGTCTCTTCCCTCCACTATCAAGCCCACAAAAATAGGTGTCTTGCCTGGTTATACTGACCTAACACTTGTAGTATGCTTTGTGGCCAAGAGGAGAGGTGGAAAAAGACTGAGGGACATAAGGTTTTTGTTTGTTTGCTTGTTTGTTTTGTGAAAGAGACTCTACTGTTTTAAAAGGGGAAGAGATCATAGACTTTCATAAGAGAGATAGACCATTTTCTCAGGTTTATTAAAGATAAAGTACTTCAGTGAAAATAAAACCTTGCTACTCTTGCCTTGACACCTTTAACCATGATCTCTTCCTCTACTCCCATTCTCTGGTAACTATGAATCTTTCTGCTTCTGTAAGTTTCATTGGTTTGGATTCTACACATATTGTAGTCAGAGTTTGCAAGGGAAAAGATATAATACAGGAAACATAATCTATAGGATTATTTTATTATAGTTGTGCAAGGAGTCAAATACAAAAGAGTGCAAGAAATCTGCCCACACACTAGAGATTCAAAGAATTTAGTGAAAGGCCTGGGTTCCACAGCAATGTCCTCCATGAGTCCACCTGGATGTCAGAGCCCACAACAATGTCTCATGCAAGTCTGCACCAAAGATCTGCACTGGGAAGGCCCAAAGGTAGAAGCCAGAAAGCTTGCACCAGCAGAATAAAGGACCTGTGCCAGTAGGCTGAGGGATCTGCACAGAAACAAGGGAACAACCCTCAAAGAAAGAACCAGGGCTTCCTGGAGAAGTATCACAGCTATCCTCAACAACAGTGAGGTTCCTAGCTCCTCTGATGATGAGAACCACCAAGTTCATATAGTTCACATCAGGGAAGATCAGTGGGACAAGCTTCTTGAAGACAATCAACAGCAACACCTCTTCTTCTCCAGTTCTCCTTTTTATATTGTTGACAACAATCCCCAGGTGGGCCCTCCACACCCAGTACAAAGCTGATTCAGTTCAGCTGGGTGTTGCAAGCTGACCACCAGTTTGTAACCTAACGTAACACCTAAGTGAGCACATATGCTTTTTGTCTTTCTGTACTTTATTTCCCTTAGCATATTTTCAGATGTTTGCACCACAAAAAAATGTGTACATGCAGTGAAAGATACGTTAAGTAGTTTGATTCAATTATTTCACAATATATGCAATAATCATAACAGCATTTTCTGCCTTATAAATGTATACAACTATAATTTGTCAATTTGCTATTTTTAAAAAACGGGAACAAGTTAAAACTTGGATGCTCACAGTTCAGATAACTGCATGGCAATAACTTTATCATCCAGCAAGCACTAGCAGCCCCAAAGGGTTAGCTCAGGCTAGGAGTAGGTGATGAGACCTACATTTTAAAGTAAAATTATTGCCACAGTCTATATATATTATGTTAACTTATGATAAAAATGATGAAGTGATAACATGATAAAACAATCTCATAGGTTATGTTTTGCTTGACAAAGAACAGCCACTGCAGGTTACTAAAGAAAAAAAAATTATTTTATCTGATTTACATTTTGGGATAAAAAGAAATCCTTTGGTAGAAAAAGAATCATGAATGCAGATAAATCAGCTAGAAATCTATTGAAATAAGTAAACACATTCAGATAAAACTCTTATGAAAGAAGAAAATTCTATAATTCAGATGATTCAAAGATATTAGCTTCTTTAAACTCAAATCAACTTACTGCAAATACTTGTCCACTTTCTGTTGACCCTCAACTTGAAGTTTTCCTAATAATTTGAATTATTCTTTATTTCAGTATATGTTTCTGCATTTATTTACCATGGCACACATCAGCAGAGTCTTGCTCTTCATCTCATACCATGATACTGCAAAGTAAATCTGGAAGAACGAGAAGAGCCAGACAATTTAGTCTCTTTCTGATTGTTGAGTGAAAAGAGTTCATAAAGCAGACACTGAATTCAGAGAACAAGAAGTATAAATGACATGGAAAACCACAATAACATTTTAGTTTAACGTTTATACATGATGAATGAAGCAGATTGACCTTCATATTTTTGACTACTAGGACAATGGATTTGGAGAAATGATGTATGCCTGGGTATTACCTATGTATAGTAGCTCTGTAACAGAGGGCACAGGAGATACAAGAATGTCTCAAAGGTCATTAATCCTGGGTTTAGTTTTGCTATTCAAAGAACTTGCTGTTAATCTTGAGTCTTATGGGAAAAACGAGCTAGTTTCTCTTCCTATGCAAAGTGAGGTGGAAATAGCTGCAGCTCTTGAACAAACTCATGAAGGATCTGGAATGTGAAATTGCTGAGGATTCCTTGGCTTATATCAGTCTTAAATAGGAGACAATGCAGGAGGCATAAGCAAAAGGGCAAAAGGATCTAAGATACTCCTTGTTAGAGAATCACCAGTTCAGAATCACTTCGAGGTAGTCCACACAAATCTGGTTATTGTGGCTTAAACAGTCTTTTTTATTTCCACTGAGAAGAGAGTGGACGAGGAGGAGGCACTTGCAGGATGCTGAAAAAAAAATGGCATCACTAGCAGAAAAGGAGGAGTCTATGGAAAAACATCGATTCTAATTTTTAAGGGAAGATATTGGGCAGACAGAGAACACTGATATGTCTCAATATGCTGAAACCTCAATATAAAGAGACCAGGTAGAAAATGACCTAAGAAAGATTCACTATCTTTCAAAAAATACTTTTAAATAGTTGAGTTATTTGAATGAAAGGTGGCTCAGAAAATACACCCTGTTATTGAAAGACCTGTGTGAACTGTCAGGGGAAAACCTTGAAGTTCACCAGAAGGATCGCCTGTTTACCCAAATCTCCAGTGGTGTCTTCTTTTCCATGCACGTCAGCTTTCTCATTTCTTCCTGGTCACAAAGAATGTGCTTCCACGTGCTTCTTTGTATATTTTGCCTCCTAACCTTTTCCTTGGAGTTCCCAAGGCTAAGGAGAACATATTCAATGTGTTTACTATTTCAAATCTCAGTGTACAGGAGCAAGAACCCGACAGTCCTCTCTCTCCTTCAGACACAGAGGGCATTGCTGCTGGGCCAGCCTTGGTGAAGGACCGTTTGTTACATCACAGCTCTGGCAGCCAGTGCTGTCACAGTCGGTCTTTGTTTAAGTGGATGTGGTCAAACAAGAGGCCCCTAACAATTATTCAATACCATACTGGCTGAAGTTTCCACTGAATGCGCTCAGAACCCTTTGGTAATATACTCAAGCCATGCGTGGCTTTCATACACTGGACACTGTAAGTAAAAAAAGCCCACTGATGATATCTTTGGAATGAACTATTGCTTTAAGTTGAGACAAAATTATTGCATCATTTCCTATTCCCTAAAACCCTCCATATCTTTTCGGGAACATTTTTTAGACGAAGCCATCTGACAAAGGCTGCCTCAAAGCCTGGTGACCATTCAGAAAAATAACAACTAATTGTCCTTAGGAAGTTGATTTGTCACTGCCTTCTTGTGGGAGTAAAGGAGGCACTTTTGCAGCTAGTAATGGAATCTTGTGTCACTCAAAAGGTTAAATTCTGACAAATGTGTTCTCCAATGATTTTGTTATTGCACAAGCATCTTAAAGTGTACTTACACAGAACCAAAAGGTGCAGGTCAGTCTCTAGGCTAGACATGGCCTATTCATCCAATCAAGAGACCTGGTAAACAGGAAATGTAGGAGTTCACTTGCTATCAGTGTAACATACTATACCATTTTACAGTAGAATGTTTTAACCTTTGTTTTTAGTAGAAAGTACACACTAAAGAAATGCTAAGAATACAGTATAGTAAGTTAACTGATAATATGTCATCATCATCATCAGATATTAGTGCACTGCTATATTGTCATGAGGTTGATAGGACGGTAGGTTTATACAATCATCACAACAAATATGTGGATAGTATAGTTATCTAAAACATTATAACATCTTTGGCATAGCTACACAATGAAAATGTTTCAGTTTAACATCTTACGGGACTACAGTTACATATATGGCCCATTGTGAACTGCAATATTATCATAAAAATATGTGACTGCAATTGGGGTTGAAGTTTGAGTGGCTGAGTAGGTGCCTCCAAAAAGCTACAAAGCAAAAATGAAAAGAAAGAAGACAGCTTTTGCATGATTAAAAGGGATATAAGGCTAGGAAATCCCTATCACTCTGGGAAGAAAAGAAGACAAGAAAAGAAAGCCTAAATGCCCAGCCTAAACGTGGAGAACAAATATGAGTGTAGGCAAGAAAGAAGGTACCAAACAATGAGGATTTATCTGATGCCCCAGAGCTGCGTGGGAACGAAGTCCCTATCAGAAGGCTGCCTAGTTGTTAAGTGACTATGGACCTCATAGTCAACAGTTTGTGACTCTGAACCACCTCCAACCTCAAGCCAAATCAGGTTACTCTGCTCTTTTAGTTAGGTGTTCCACATGGAATCCACTCTGGTCTTGTTTTTTATTTATTCATTTGTTTTTTTTGTTTTGTTTTGTTTTGTTTTGTTTTGTTGTGAGACAGGGTCTCACTATGGAGGCCAGGCCAGCTTTGAATTCACTTTGTATCCCAGGCTGGCCTTGAACTCAAGTAATCCTCTTGCCTTGGTCTCTTGAGTCACAAGCTTGTATCTTCAGGTCTAAAATCAATCATTTGAGTACAATTAAATGCTCAAAAACAAGTTTTAGAAATCATTGGGTCAACAGGGCCATCATGACCTCAAGTACATGATGAAAGAAACTTTTGCATAAGCATTTAAAGGATGAAATAAAAATACTATGACATTTTAGCAAAAATGGTTAAAAAGTGAACAGCATGTCATACTTAAATTTTGCTCTTGGAGTGACTCAACTAAATATTATTAGCAGTCAGAGTAGCTGAAATTAGAAAGATCTAGTTATATAGACCTCCTGAAAGCATGAGACTCATGCTCACCATTTTTAGCAGAATGGTACATAATGTTGAACTGCTTATAAGTGAACTAGTGAGCTGCTAAAATACATATGTATGTATTTTTTCTTCAAACTAGGTGAAATACAGGCTGATATATCATCTCTACTTTTAAGACCAAGCTAAATTAACCTATATCAATAAGTTTTATCTCTCCCACATGGGACTTTGTGACACACTGATTCTAAACAAAATACACTATGTCAATGAAAGATTGTAAAGGGATCTTTATGAGTGATGATCTAGCTAATTGGTTCAAAAACCTTGATAGATCACTATCCATCATCTACTGGAAAGATTTCTAACCTATAAGAGTCAGTCAAACCCTTGTGAATAGTATGCTGAAACTTGTTCTCAGAGGAAAGTGATATACATTGTCTCCATAGGGTGTTTGTGGAAAATGCCCTGAGTAATCACTAAAAGTGGCTCTTATAACCCCTTTCAATGTTTACTTGCTACATTTTGTGAGCAGTAGGACTCTAATAGTTTTATCCACTGAGCAGTCAATCTAAATAAACATATCACGATGAATTTACACATAAGCCATTGAATCAGAGATCTGCAGTCCCCAATGGGATGAACATGTCTTTCCATAGACAAAAGATGGGGGGCTCAGTATCCAGGTAAAGTTGAGATGTCAGGGGAAAACTAAAAATAACTAAGGCAGGAAATACTTGGTTTGTTGAAAGATCTGTTTTGTTTGTTTGGTTGGTTGACTGCTTCTTTATTTTCCACCACTGTTGCAGATCTAGGAATATATTCAATGTTGAGGAAGCAATCATCTGAAATTATGTTAATCACTGACATAAATTTCTGATAGACATCAAGTAGCAGAGATTGCAATTTCTTATTCATTTGGCCAGGTCAGGAGGCCCTGAAAAGAGAATGAGAAATTCCCTACTCCAGTTTTTCTTAATGTCAGCATTCACTAGCAGCATAAGGAGGGTTTATTAATACATAGATGACGGAGGCCCAGCTCCATGGTTTCTGATTCAGTAGGCATGGGCTGTGCCCAGCATCAGTATTTTTAAATTCCTAGGCAATGCTTAAAGTCTGGTCTGAGAAATCATATTTTTTAAACCACTGCCTTTTACATCATTGTAAGATCTACTATTTTTGAATGCTTTGGTAACAAGTATGTATGTCGACATACATCAATTTGCATAAAAGGCAGTGCTGATTCCGATTCTTCTACTCTCTGTAATCCCACAGAAAAGAAAAACCTCCGTATTAATTGCTTTGCTATACTTCCTTTACCTACAGTGTTTCATTTAAAAGATACACTATTCTCAAGCAAACATAATTCAGTTATAGATTATGAAAATAAAATGTTCATAGCCTGAGCATCTTTCTTTTTTATCGTGTCCCATTTAAAGATATATTACTTTGATCCTGGAAATAATTAGGATGACATGTAACTATTACACTCTTTTCTCAAAAAACCCGGAAGTTGAAAACTGTCACAAGATGTTTTAAAACCTCTTCTCATCTCTCTTTCTTTCGGTAATTTTGAGGGGTATAAAATCCAAGTAAGAATTTTTTCCTTAAGAATACAAAAGTTTCGAAGCCATAAAAACTACTAGAACCAGATCTAGAGAGCTTGTGTCAACTCAGTTAACTGACAGCCCTAGGAGCTTGGCTGGAATTTCCTTTAGTTTTCAAACTTTGTGTTTAAATCATACTCACCAAGAAAAAAAGAATTCAGTGAATTACATTAATTTCTCAGAGACTTCAATTTTTACTTAGCTCAATCCAGATTCTAACTCAAATGTTGCTATTTATACAACTTTGATATACCCTAAAATTATTTTGAAGTGGTTTTAATGGGACTGATCAATGAGTGTTAGAGTTGCTATGCGGTAGAAATCTGGCCATTGACGGTACCACATTTTCCTGGGCCATCGCGATAGCTCAGGACTGACGAAACTTACTCCTGAAGCTCTTCTTTCCCTCCTGTCACTGAAAGGAAGATTTGTCTTCCTGTGGGATTTCAGGTGCTATCTTGTTGCTGTAAGGAAACACAGTTTGTGAGTCAAGGAAAGAAGACTCACGCAAACCTGGCAGATGGTTAGGGGTACAAGATCATGATGAGGTCAAAAAAAGTATCAATTCCAGCAAAATATATGGACTGCGTGTGTTGGATTGGCATTCCTACTTTTCAACACACTTGGAGAACATTTCTTGCCCTCTTTAAGACTCAGGTCATTTATCTCTGATATAGACACTCCACATGTTGTGAGGAGTGGGTGAACTGATTTACATAAATTATTGGCAATATATGACACATGATATATTCAGAATACATGCTGGATAGTTTTACATTGTTGGTCACTTCTTTATCCAGTAAACGATATATAGTAAAAATAGTTTACACTCATCTCTTTCATATTACCATAAACACGTACATTTTTCAAACTGAAACTCCAATGGACCAATTACTATGTATATTAATATAAGATACATCGAGCAAAAGTATGTTGGTAGAGTGGGATTTTTCTATGCATGTTTATAGAACAATGAATAATTTTCATGAAAATTTTTCATAATGATTTCTAATTTCTAAGTAGTGTATATTAATGCTATAAGTTGGGAAATCATTAATAAATGAGGAAATACTATACTAGTCAAACATATAATGTGCTCTAAACAATAATTCTTTTTTTGTGAAATAAAGGAGCTGGCTAATGTAATTTTTAGGTTTCTACATTGTCGAATTTGTCTAAAATATTAATTCTTTTTAAAAACTCATTTTAAAATTATAAAACTTTGTTACAAGAAGAGATTAAGTAATTCATTAGTCAAACATTTTTATATTGAAAGTTGAGGCCCAAAAGACTTATACTTTCCTCAAGGTTGTTTTGATGATGAAAGATAAGTGACTTAAAAGCTGTCAGGAAAAAGTACAGAGAGTTAAAACGGAAACAGCATAAAGTAAAAGAGTCATCTTCACTTAATGTTTTCAGGATAACAGAAAGAAGAAACTGAAAGCAGAAAGATAGCAGCCTGTGTGATTTCACACTCTAAGTATGATTTTGTAGAAGAACCTAGAAAAAGGTGTGGTTTGCAGTCCATATAGAATGACTGGCTTTATGTTTCATAATGTAATGTTTTGGTTTAGGCAAATAAAGATTCATTAAATATTGGGAATCAAACTTCAATTATTTAGGTAAAACCTCCTATAACTGGAAACCTTTAAAGCTATTAATTACTTTCCAACAAGCCTCTTTACTTTTTCTAAATGATTTTGATGTTCTAACCCAAGTGAACAGTGTCCAGTACTAAAACACAAATAAATAAAAGGAGGCCCTCTCCTCTGCTCCCATGTGTATAGCTATTAATGAATCTAAATTGTGATCATCAGCCACTCTTCCTAAACCAGTAAGATGATTTCCAAATACCATGCTCTGTGAATTTCTGTCTTATCTTTGCATATGATCCATTAAAATACCACCTATGAAAAACTGAGTAAGTTTGCGCCACTGTAAAACACAGCTCTTAACAGAGAAAATATTGCAAGAAACTCTCCTTAAACTTTTTATGACCAAAGGTCTTGCTTGAAAAAAAAAATGGTTTAATTGCTAACTTCAGAGGATGATTCTCTAACAAATGTAAAGAAATGTTTATAAAAGACGTAAATATACGTTGATGCAAAGACACAGGCAAAGGGGTTTAAGGATCTGCCAAGATGTTGTGGAGCTCCAGGCTTTGCATCTGTTCACTCTATTCACCTATCCCACCTGTTCTCCAGCACAGATAATTTGCACTCTTACTGTGGTCCCAGGTCACCCACGTCCTCCTGCAATGGGTTTAGCTCGAGGCTTTGTACCCAAAAGACTGTAACTGATACCTAGATTATTCCCACTCTTTTTTTCTGCTCAGGGTATGCTTAATAGTGTGTTCATTTTTTTCTGGATTTATATAGTGAAACTTCTCTGATTTCCTGACCAATGTTCTTGAACATATATTTCAGGTCCCCACACTAGAGCTTTGAAGTTTCTCACCAAGTCACTCAGGGTAGACCTATTTGATTAGTTTATTTCCCTACATTGATGGCTTGTTGACGACTTCTCTCTTACTCTCTGAACGTTCTCAAGCTCCTCAGCTTTGTAGTGTGCACCCTGCACATGACTTGTGTTGCCCACATTATGTGGATGTGTCAGTGTCACCTGGTCAGACATGCTTTCAGTCTCACTCTCCTTTGACTTTATGCAATAGCATCCCTCATCTTATACTGATGTTGTATGATGAACGATTTCATTTCCATAATACAAATGTAAATGTCATCCATAAGGATTGAAGATATTATGAAAAGAACTCCCAGAGGCCCCTCAGCACACACGGAATAGCAAATATCAAAAATTCACCAGGAAATTAATAAATCATGAAAGAAGAGAGTAGCAGGCAATGGCAATTGCCCACTGATGATAGCAAGAATGTGTAATTGTTGAGTTAGTCAATATGCTATGTCTTCTCTAAGGATTGCTCTGGATCTTACGGATAAACTAAATATAGTTCACTTATTAAAATTCTGACAGCCACTAACAAAGAATTAGAAAGCAGGACTTTTCAGAGGTAATTACATCAAGAAGCTGAAACCTTTACAATGAGATGCATGCCCTTATCAGAAGAGAAAGGATGGCCTTGTTTCCAGTCTCTGCTCTTTAGCTTGTCAGAACACAGCAAGAAGACGGCAATCTGAAGATCAGGAAGAGAGTTCTCATTAGACACCAGATCCTTGGTCTTGGACTTCACTGTCTTCATATCCATGAGAAGTTAATGTTTGACATTCAGTCAGCTAGTCTGTGTAAGTGTGTTATAAGGCTCATTAGGAGGACTTGTTAGGAGAGCCAGAGTGATAAGAAGAAAACTGGTTTGAGGATACTATAGCTTGGAAAGATTCAGGAAGGTGAACCCATTTAATGTACCAGAATTAAAGTCTTTGAGTCAGAAGTTTGGAAAAGCATCAGGAATTATTGATTCAGAAACCCTTGTTACTGTTTTATTCTTCATATTTTAGTGTATTTTTTACATTTTATGTAAGAGAGTAGCCAAGTGGGAGTATTAAACTGAAACTCATCTGTGTTTGAAAATAAATGATAACCACTGACCAATATCTTATAATGGTTATTTCCAGCATACTGTACCATAGTGGGGGTTAGGCGTTCTTGATGGAATTGAGTTCTAAAATGTTTAAAATTAATTCTATGAAGAATCTGAAGAAGAAAGGTGTAACTGATAATGTCAATAGTGATTCAGAAAGAGTAATGCAAAAAATAGAATGGAATTTATTTGATAAATAAACCATACATTGTTAATATGGAATTTAACTTTAAATGTAATACTTACATTACATTTTGATATTGAGATGGTATTTTAACGTACTGAAAAATGGTGCAAAAATGTTACCCCATTAGAAACTCCAATAGGACATAAATTTTCTTTACTTTCAACATAAATTTAAAAAATAAAATTTTAGTAGAAATGAAGTTTTTTTCCTATTTATAATGGAGCAGAAAAAATAGGGGAATAGAACAAAGTGAAACAATGTCTCAATAACAGTTTTGAAATGGAGCCACTGATCTTCATAACGGAAACCACAAAATAATTGTGGTGGATACAAAAACAATATTTATTCCAAGGTTGATTTAAAATGCTTTTATACAAAATGAGGACTAGGAATAAATGTAGGGTGGAAAAGTGGGTGTTTTAGGTTTGGGGGTAGGAAAATATTTAAATATTGACAAGAACAAAAGATGAAGAATTTCTACTGTTTGAATTCATAGTTTTTCTATGCAGAAATAAGGTTTTCAAAAATTTCTTCAGTGTTGTTCAGTATATTAATTAACTTGTTTTCTAGAAAGTTTATTTTCCATCAAGCCATCAAGTTTATTTAATTTTTTCCCAGTTCCATAACAACCACAAAGACAACAAAAGTTATCTTGGAAAAATTACTGGAATGTGCAAAATGTCTTGAGCAAATTAACTATTTTTTTTACAATTTGTCTATAGCCTAAATCTGTAGCATTGTAATACAGTCTGGAGCATCATTTTGATGGAGATGAGAGGGTACAGGCTGAAAGTTTCTCATCTCGTTTGTGTCTTCTTTAACATAACATCGTTTTTGTCAACTTAGGTTATTTAACTGGTGAGCAGTCAGCCAGCTGGCTTCAGGATAACATCCATTGTATAACAATTGCAATTTAGTCTCTGAAACTGTATATGGAGTCAAGCCCTCTCCCTCCAAATTAAGTACTATTCCAATTCAATAAGGTCATAACACACAGTTATTTAAATACAAATACAGATGGCCTTCAAATTACAGTGCTTCAGTGTAGGGTTTCCTGACTCTGTGACAGTGGGAAAATGATGCACATTTAGTTGAGCTTGTACTTTGCATGTTGGATTTTGATCTTCCAAGCAAGCAAGATGTAGTAAGATACTTTTAATAGGCAGTGACAGAGAGCAGCAATTCCTGGTTACTCAAAATGATCATGAGAGTAAACAACTGTAACTCTTCACCTGTTCTATTACTAAGCTGTAGCATTCAGTTGATTATGTATAAAAGGACATATTCCATCCGGATATTTTAAATTCAGAATAGCTTCATCAGAAGATAAGCCCAATGCAAACCCAGGTGTATCTGCATAAGCTTGTGGACAGCATTTATCATCTGATGGTGTACATGTAATGAACAGAGTCTGACTGAAAGACTATGCAATCTTTTCCAGAATAAATAGATATTAAAGCAGTTTCAGTAAATATTTATTGAAGTTGTCATGCTTTATGGCTTGTTTCCTGAGTGAATTAGTCAATAGTGCAGCAAGTACAAAATAGTGTTTGCACTATCGTAGGTTGCAGACACAGCCAGGGTAAAGTTCAATTGAGTCTTCTCTATGATTTTAACTTCAATGGGGCTTTAAATTTATGAAAGTTTCAATACTTTTGGAAAAAGTGAAAAGGTATTGAATTTATGTTTGCAAAATTTTTTTGCATCAATCTCAATAGTAAAAAGAAGAAAGAAATCCTGATAAGTCCCAGGAACATACAGATTCATCTGAGATTATTAACTTGGCATCAGCCACACCTGGTTACTTGGGTAACATATGACAGTACATTAGCTTTGATGAGAGAGATCAGAAAAGATATCTCACTAGCATTGGATTTAGTAGAAAAAAGTGGAAATGTTTTGTTTTTCGGACTGGGAATCAAACTCAGGACCTTGTACTTGCCAGGTAGGTACTGTACCACTAAGAGCTACATCCCTGGCTCCAGCATTTGATTTTAAACTTACAGGCTACCTTAAATTTTGTTAGGATTTTTGAGAAGAGGTAGGCAATCATACCATCAGAAAATATCTCACAGCTTTGTGTTGCTAACATGAGAAATGCTAAATATTCCAGAGTGAACTTGGAGTCCATGATGGAAAGACTTAAATAAGACTTCAATGTCGTAATAAAAAAAAAAAAAACACACACAAGAGGAGCTACTGGCAGTTTAAACAGAGGAACAAAAGAACACATCTGAAGGTCTAACAGATCAGAGTGGCTACTGAATGGAATCAGCCGACAGGTAAGAAGCTACACAAGTGATCAAGGTAAGAATTCCAAAGCACTTGAATTAAGACAAAAAAGCAGGGAAAGAGTTATTTCCACCACTTTCAAATCTTACTCAACCTTCCCATTCATTTTTGTGGGGGAAGAGTGGTGTATTTTTAATTTGTTTTCTTCCTGACTTCTAAATGAAATATTTCAACCTATTACATTTTAATGCTATTAATGCTCTGCATGACACTGAGAGTACAATGGGACAACATATCTGAACAAATTTATAACACATATGTGCTATTTACATTCTCATGTCTGTATTTATAAATGTGTTAGCTTTGCTGTGACAACATACTGGGATACATCAACTTAAAGGGATTATTGTATATAATGGTTTCAGAGGCTTCAGTGCACGGTCAGTTTCTTTGGGCCCTGTGGTGAGGCAGAATGCCATGGCAGGGAACATGAGCTGAAGTAAAGATCCTCACCTTTTGTGTGGCCACACAGCAAAGAAGAGAGAGAAAAGATCTACGGTCCCAGGATGTCCTTCAGAGGCACATTCCCAGGACCTGACTTCCTCTAATGAAGCCCCACCTCATCAAGAGATACTTTAACACAGGTTCCTTTTGGGACCTTAACATCCAAACAATAGCAACAACACAGAATTTGGTTGCTTTCACTTTGTAAGATTTAACATTATTTAGGGGACAAGTGTTTCCCCAGCAACTCCATTCTAGTGACTCTCATGAAACATTCCCGGTTTACCAACTACTTACTTGTATGTTTCTCCTCAAGTGTCAACCGTTCCTTTAAACTCAGATTGTGCAAAATGGAATGCAGTTGGCTTTCTTGAATTTCCTGACCAAGAATGGCGCAGTCTAATAACTCAGAGATGAATGCTTAGCTGCCTGTGGATGTGACCTCTGCATAGTTTCATGCCTGCTTTCCATTTCCACCACCCTCAAATTCCATCCGTCTCAAAAATATCTCAGAAAATATATCCAAAATTTTAATGCTTTATGTGCCACTTCTGTCATAAGATAACATTTCTTAAAGTTGTGTATTCTTCATGTTTTCTCTTGACCCAGTAGCCACAATTACATTTAGGAATGCAGTCTGTTTTTCTAGTCATATTTCCTGTTTCTTGTCTTCACAAAGTCTACACTAAAACCAAACCGAATATTCTCTATGCTTCATGTTTATCATGTGTTCCTGACTTTGGGCATAGTCTTTCCAAGGTCATTTAGAATAGCATCTCTCTACGAAGTTGTGGTAATATTCCCCCAATTACCAAATGCAGTCTTAATTACCTGAAACTCCACTGTTTTACTCCCTTTACTTGTACCTTTTACTTTAATTTGTATCATGTTAAATAATTGTTTTAAATGTCAACAATTCATTGGACTATAAACTTCTTGTGGGCAGAGACTATGTTGTCCTTCATGTTATTATTACCAAGCCATATATACTGAAAGTTCAAAAACCATCAAATTTATTTTAGTGGATTAGCCATTTTCTCAAAGCATGTATTTTATGATCTAGGTGTAGCTGTTCCTATAGAGACAAGCATGCAACATTTGTCTGTGTACTATTCTGCCTGCCCTTTTCAACTTCTGTAGTCATCATCTGTCAAGATTCATGGAGCACTTACAAATGTAAGGTGTGTCCACTTTGCTAGAAATGTGTATAGTATAAACAGTTTGAATGCAGATGGTAACTTTCACTCCAGAACTTCACTGCCTTCAGTGGTCAAATTTCAGTGTGACCTGGAAATAAGTGACAATATCTTCAAATTTTGGAATAGGTATTTTTGCAACTCCTCATACTGTTCTAATTTAGAAGTTCAGGCACTGTCATGCTTTAGTTTGGAATTTTACTTTTGGTTATTTTTTTGTCTTTTTAATCAGTTTCTCCTATACCAGCTGGTGTTTTGCACAATAGGCAGTGGATTCTTGTTATTCATGGAAAGTTATGTTCAATAAAGTTACTGAACATACTGAATTATTAGATGCTGAACTACTGTTCACAATTATGTTGCTGCAAAACTCTAGTAACAATATTTTGATAACCAAGCAATATATGACCTGTGGCTTGTGCATTTCTCTTCAAAAGTATCTTGTTTAATGAAGTAGATTCAATGACATTGAAGTCACATCCACTTGCATTTAATTCTTGTCTAAGGGCAGCTCTAAGTATTTTTCTATAAAGTATATCACTGACTTCTGGTGTTTAAACATTGTGTATTCCACGATACTTTAAAAATATTCTCTGAAGCCATTTAAGTAGCACAATAATTCACTAACTATATAAAGATGATAAAGTATGATAGTAAATAAAAAGGCAAAGCGTCTCCTTACATGGCCTTTCCTGGGACCAGGGTATGATCAAAACGTTCCCTGCTTTGTGCATGTCAGTGAGTGATTACATAAATTCTGAAGGTCCTAATTTCAGGTGTTACATGTAAACTTTAGCATGTACAAAAATTCATAGATGTGGAATCTGGAAGGGCCTGCAATGCTAAAAGCAATTCATTCCCTGCCAGCCAATGATCATGCCACATTTTCTATACTGTATGGTTAAGTTTCTTTTCACTTTTCCACTTGCCATTTTTAGTGATGTTAAGAAAATGTTTAATGCCCCCAAACGTATCTACTGTAGCGTGTTTCTCAACGTTTAATCGCATAGTTCCTTCTGCCTGGAATGCAGTATATCTGTAATGCTCATTACGTCATATCATTTAACCTACCCAGCTTACTTAAGCAGAATATCAACAAGGAAGGTTACCTGCAACCAGACCAAGGAAATGCTTTTTGATCTGACTTAATTTGTTTCTCTCTTAGCACTTGGAATTTAACAAATTTTCTGTCGTTTCTATATTAATAAGAGCCATATCTACCTTTCAGTAGCCTTTATATAGAGATTAGTGCCTGACTTAAAATAGATGTTAAATGTGAGGTTGAAATGAACTATTAGGAAGAGGGTAGTTAACAAGTAACTTTTTAAAAAATGAGAATTTAATTCAAGTATGTTAAAATATTTTTATACAAGGAACTGAATTTAATAAGTATATGAAAGTTTACAAGAAGAACTATGTCCAAATATGATTGAACTAATAAAGGAAAAATGTTGTGTACTCAAATTCCAAGGTTGAAAATACCTCAAACTCATTATATAGTATAACTTGAATGATTTATAAGCAGAAAGTGGCTTATCTTAAAAACCAACATTGTTCAAGAAAATATTAATAATAGTTTAACTAGCGTATCGTAAGTAATAATCTTTCTTCCATATTTGGCAATAACAAAGCTTTTCCTGAAGTATTTATGCAAGTAGAGAAATTGGAATTAATTCAAAGAAGATCAACAAAACTGAAAATAGGATGACTATTAGAAAAGGTGAAAAACACTCTGGGACTCCAAAGAGGTCAGAGAACATCAGGGAGGGCCATGAATTAAACCTTGTCACCAAGCCCAGTATAATACTTGGCTGAAGGCTCAATAAAAGACTTTTTGATTAATTAAAGTACTTAAGTCTCAAAGGACAGAGATCAGTCATGCTACACTGGTGCTCAGGCCAAAACTGACTGAAATAATTTAAAAGTCAAGAAATAGATTATAATTTGCTTAATGGGGAATCTCTTGGTTCTAACAAGTGACAGAACAGCCAAGAAAACTTCCATGACATAGCTTGAAGTATTCCTGAGCCTACATCTACTAGAACTATTTAGAAAACAGATTGCTTTCAGCAGTGTAAGTGTTGTCTGAATGAAAGGAGCTGGATTAGCTCTCCCCTTAAACTGTCAACCAGGATTATAACTGGGAGTATTGTATCACACTCTCAGTATGTTCTATTCTAGAAGTCTATGATTATAGTGTGTTTAATAAGTTTAACTTGTTTCCATCATGACAATTTTTATATTTTTCATTGTCATTCTCGTGTATATTTTCTTAGGGATGATGGAGAAAAGTGCTTCTGTTTATTTTCACCTGGTAATACATTTGACCCAAGCTGCAAGAAAGAACTCTTGATTCAGAAAGATATTTAAATGTAAACTAATTATTTTATAACATCTATTAAGAATTTAATTTCCAGGTCCTGGAATTCATATGATTTAGCACATTTAATTTCCCCCTGATAATTCTCTGGGAAATTTCTACTATGATCTCTTTCAGGGATGGGAAAAATAGTTAATAAGTTGTTGTAAGTCACAATTAATAAAACCAAGAATAGAAATTGAAAACCAGATTTTTTTGGCCCATAAACAAATTTTTAAATCATTATTCTATTGTATTTATTCAAGCATCCAATTTTAAAAAAGGCATGTATTGAGACACTTGCTGAATACCATGCTTTGTGGAGATGCCGACGCTTAGATGGGTTTCCCCGAGTGGTAAGATGTGCAGTGGGTTTGTGCTTGCAGAAAGCTTATTGGGAGGTGTCCTTAGGAAGAAGTTTTGTGAGAAAAAGGAAAGAAACAGAGTAGAGCTGAACTGTATGTAACACAGCTGCTCAAATGTCCTTAGCCTGTCTCTGGATCAATTCCTGAGCTCAATGGCTTTTCAGAATTGGCCCAGATTGTGAAACTGGGTTCATCTCTCATCCGCCAGTCTCTGAATAGGAGCCCTCCAAGGACAAGTGCTTACCTTAGTGAAGCAGATCTGCTTTGGCCAAAAGCCACTTATGGAAAGGGTCTCAATCATGCCTCATAGTTAGAAAACCACAGTGTAAAACCAGATAAGAGGGCTACTCACATGAGGCGTATGTGCCAGGAAGGGAATGAGAGAAGCCCTCAGCCCTGTTTTTCTACAGCAGATGGTAGTATGTGGTAAAGAGCAAAATACAGTGAAGACAGGAAGTTCTAAGAGTAAGGGGTGGGCATGGTACAACCTAGCTAAGACTTAGGTTAGGAAGTGGTTTTTGAGCAAAGAATAAAAGTTCAAAAAATGGTATCATATAAAATTAGATCATAGAAAATATCTGTTCCCAAAGACA